CCAAAATTTGGTATATATGGATATATAATATATACCGTAAGTTAGTACCACCAACAGTTTCCATGACCTTTCATGTACATGTAATACGACGACTATGTTTAATGATAAGTGAGAGTGACTAGGGAGCCCGTCTGAGAGCTGGCTTTCTGCATGGTTCTTTTCTGCATAACCCTATCCCCAATTTGGATGCTATCCGTACGGGGCGTATTGTATACTTCACGTATACATTGCCTCGAATAAGAGTGCCTCAAAAGAGATTGAGTGGCATTGCGCCGCCTCCCCCTTTCATTCGAAAGATTTCCGCGCCCAAAATGGAGCGCCGCCCGCGATCGGCGCAGAAGCGCAGGGCGCACGTGACGGCAAGCGACGACAATCAGAGCGACAGCGGGAGCAACGTCAGCGACGAGGGATGGGCGCTATCATCCGACAGCTCACGCATCCGATACGTCCAGTCAAGTGGACACGCAAAGCCATGGGTCGTCGGAAAGCTCGGACTGTGTCCTCGCCCCTCCGTTGGGACAGACGCGCTTCGATTCGTGGGAAGAACTGCACGCATACCTGGACGAGTACATGCAACAAACGTACCAGGTATGGTCGTGTTTCTCATGGAATTTACTATGGCACACAATTTGACGTTTGTTTTCGCGTATTTGCCGCAGAGTTTTCGCGTTCGCACGAACAGCAAGGTAGCGGAGAGAAACAACAAGATCAAGGCCGCCGGATCAAAAGCGCCGGCTATCCCGGAAGAATGAGGGTACTACAACAAGACTCTGGTCTGTAAGCATGGTGGTACGTTCAAGTCTCGCGGTCAGGGAAAGCGCCCGCGACAGGAGACTCGGCGCATTAAGTGCGGTGCGCAGGTAAGGCGAATGCTTTTGTTTGTTTGTCAGTTGGGTTTAGATGGGCTCGGATGAGCACCGAGGTTTCTGTAACCTGCAGACGGGTCCAGACTGTCCAAAACGGTTCCCAGACGGTGTGGGTTGTCGTGGAAATACCTGGTCTAGGAGTATTCAAAACTAGCACGCTTGCTACAATGAAGAGATATCATATCTCCATCCAGACGGTTCACCTTGTAGACAGAGTGGTCAGATGGTGCCAGACGATTAACTTTGACATCCCAATGCCCCCTGCGTTTAAGACTCAGGAGGATCCAGACATGAAGGCCAAGGTCGAACGATCCCAGTTGCTGGCACCTGAGGTACGAACACCAGACATGAACTATGTCCACTCACCTCTAACCATCTATAATGAAATCTTCTGTAGACAGAAATGCTGGAGATCGCTGCTAAAGGCTGCTTGGGTGACACGACGATGCAACACCTGTTGGAGAAACTCTTTGGAACGAAGTCGTCCATTGTCGTGGGGAGCTCCTATCTGATAACAGTCGAGTCCCCAACGAAAATGACATTGGACAACGATAGACTGGCCGATTTATTGCTCGGGCTATCCTTCGAGAAGGTCATAATACCAGTGAATGCCCACGGCAACCACTTGTGTGCGATCATGTCCGATGTGAGCGCTCGAATTTTGTATACGTACGATCCAATGGAGTCGTCGTACAGGATTGGCCTCCGCACTGCTGTTCATAATCTCTCACTGATGGCCCCGGGTCGCGACAAGCACAGGATCCGCATCCAACATATCTCCTCAGTTGGAGATCCAGACCGACAGCTACAGCTGCGGCATATATGTGCTGCTATCGTTCGAGGTATTCGCTGGGGCGGACACACCGGGTTGTCTCGACAAGAAGAGCATTCAGTACCTGCGCTACAGGTACATGACAATGTGTGTCTAGCTTGTCTAGCTAACTTTCAATGCATACTTCTATTCTAGTTCTTAGTGCTCGTTAATATTGTTATAATAGCTATGAATGAAAGTGTTCGTTTAACTCGAAGTGTTTCCAGCTATGCAGTCCGCAGCTGACGATGTGTCTGCATAACACATCGTCTGTATAACACATCGTGTCAGGCGGGCTGCACATTGTCAGATTCGTATGAGTACAAAGGTTTATTTGAGTACATGGGTGTGGCGTTGAGAGGGAAGTTGTACCTCAAACGCATCCTGTGTGTCACTTTGTGTGTCAGACACAGATTAAATTCTTGCGGCTATACGTTATTCGCGCGTATACTTTGGTCACTGCCTCTCGTCGAAACGGGCACAACATGGTCATCAAATGGGCCGTCATGCGCTGACACGGGGTGACATGGTGCGACTTGGGCCCAGATGGGCAATGCGCCTCGTCACATTTTCTCTCAGACGGGCTCCCTATCTCGTGCCATGATAAATAATAGGTTTATGGGTTTGAGCTAACGCAGCAAAGTAAATTTGAAGCGCTCTCTCATTCTGACGAACCGAGTGCCCACCTGCCTGTGTCTGCTTCATTAAGCGCCTATCGTAACACTGTAAAAAAACTTTACCGTGCAGCCATGCAGGCTGCACGGTAAAGTTTTTTTGCATTGCAGCTTCTGGCCACGCATTGTGTGTACGTGAACCTATCGGCAGGAACGTCCGTAAGTTTGCAAGTGGCATAAACTTCTCTTAAGTTCCAACTGCGATCTATAATGAAGCACGAGATAAAATTTACCATTATTACCAATCATGCCTGGAGCGTACAATAGAAATCGCTTGAGGCATAGTAAATACCACTTGCAGCTACACGTACACGCATAATAGAGCCCTGAGAGCGTGCTGCCAGCGTGGCAGGAGTGTGATCGAATTGAAGTTGACGTTTGCTGCTACAAACAACTTGTTAGTTAAACCACATGTATTGTTTTTATGTGTCGCACATCAAACTGATTTATGCCTCTATTTTGTGTGTTTGAGGTATGATATTCAAAGTTTCGTTGAATTCGTTACATAGATCTGTTCCCTTCTGGTGGGGAATTATTCGTCCGTTGTTCAACAACTTGTTGCCTACATTAGCTGCGAAACTTGCTGTTTATCATCTGTGCATCGCGTGTCCAAACTCCCAATCACCCGGGCACTTCCCGGGCACGTTCAACTTAGGAAATCTGGATAAGGCGGTCGTTTACGGCGAAAAGCGCCATACGTTGTACTTGTATGACGTTCAGTACTGCATGAATCCTATCGTGTAGCGCACGTCAAACTCTTGATCACACGATGGGAATCGTTGCCGTCCCCACATTCAGCTGCGAATACCGGTACCGACGATCGGCCTTCGCTCCGGTGGATTGACTGGCTCAGTTGTCGATCTCCCCAATCCGACACACGTGGCAAAAGAACAGAAATGGCCAAGGACAGATTCATCAGCGCGAATCCGTATCCGGATGTAAACGTATCCGAGGAAGAGCGCCAACAACTGATCGAACTAGTGGACGGGTTTGTTCAAGACTATTTCAAGAAATACGAAAAGTTCGTTCTTGTCGACAAGCACCAGGTAGACGAGCGGCGTTGGGGACACGTCAAGTCGAAAGACAACCTCCACATCTATACTGAACGCTCTCAGAAGGAATTGGCTCGCAAAGGTCTGCAACCGGAGAACGCACCAAGTAGCACGGAGCTTGGGGATGAGGACACCTCCGCAAAGGAATCACCCGTTATGCTAGTGTCGGAACGTTCGTTGGAGAGATGGATGATCTCATGTTTGGTGTCGTGAATCCTACGCTCGATGTTATGCGGATTAAAGCCTCGTATGTGCATGATCTCGACAGTGCGGCTGTTTTGTGTCCAGTAGTTGTACCAACGGAAGACGGGCCTTTTCGATCGCTTGTAGTGAAGTGGATGACCATCGATGTCCCTCTCCAATCCGCAAATTTGGTCAAATGTCGCGATTTTGTGTACATCGAAGCCACGGGCGCGGATGGTATTCGAGTGCACGGTGAGGGGTTTTCGAGTGCAGACATTTTTGCCACGAAATGGCGGAATGACGAGTGCAGATAACACATGGCGATATCGTCGGCTCTATACTTGTCTTGTCCGGTCCATGCTTGTTTGAATTTACTACACTGTCCTTGGGGCCGGATGCAGAGCTCACCAGGATGTAAGAGGAGAAAAATACACGTATTTGTGAGAAGAAAACATGAATGAGCCTTGGATCCTGGCTCACTTCCTACACAAGGTACGCTGAGCTCCGCTAGTCCAGTCCTACGCTCACATGCTCAATGCCAACTGTCACTCCTGATCGTCTTACCTGTCCAAGTCCTGATCGTCGTCGGCGTCACGGTCGACACTGCGGGGATGCGATTCGTGTGTGCTTGCGTGGGCGGCAGCACCCTTCGTAACATCGAGGCCAGTACGTCTTGATTCTACGATCAGCTGCACCAATTCCTGGCACTCTAGGAAGACTTGCTTGCCTCCCTCGAAGTCGACAAGCCATCTATATCTACCACCCCGACTTGAGTAGGCTTGAATTGTGCCAATCATGCTGATGTCTTCCTCTTCTCCGTTGACGACAACGGCAAAATCCTTTGCTATCTGCCAGCCATAAGGATAGTGCGGTTTCTTCATCAACTTCTTTTCCAGGGATGATATCGAAAACGTGCGGCAGTCGGGTGCATCAATGAAGAGTGCACCAGCGATTTTGCGTTGTCCCCCGCAACGTTTCGTGGTAGGACGAACGCCTGCTTATCGTTGCTGCAACATGTAGCTTACATTAGCTACGTCTAAACTAATGAAGGCAGAGCCTTGACGCATCTTCTTCCGTGCTCAAGCCTTAACCTCAGCAGTGCACTCGGTCATTCCCTCAAGTTGAACAAGGGACACTCGGTTTCACACCTTTCGAACAAAAAACTAACGGTGCACTCGATTTCCTAAAAAAAGCACTCGAAAGTAATATCGTTCCCGAAGCCACCGGCATTCTGCACTTTACCAGCGGCGACCGCGTGGGCTACCACTTGTTGCATTCCATCAATTTCCCGCAGACAAAGCCGCTTCCGAATAAAATCCGCGGGAATCTTTCCGTGTTCGGATTCTTCCGGCAAGTTGAGGAAAATGTGATCGATAATTTTGCTAGTGGGATAGTGGATCCTGGAGGTGATATTATGCGCTTTTTACTGATTCCGACGGCAGCAGAAGCTCTGCTTTCTGCCACAAACTACGTGTATTGTGGACAGATGAAAAAGATATCGTGGATGTTGCAGCGTCGACATTTCGCCTTTGTACGCCAAGATCAGCCAAAAGATTTAGAAGAGTGTGTGATGTGTACCAAACGTACGACCCGTGGGAAAATACGGGGTCTCGGGAGAAGCACGTGCAAGCTTTGTTACGGCTGTGTCTGCTATCCGTGCAAGATCCGCAGACGCATCAGCTTCATCACGTTGGATGGACAATTAGTTCAGCGTAAAGTTACGTTTTGTGCAAAATGTGTGAGCATGGCTACCCAGTGTGAGGCACAGGACGCCGCGAGGGATCAAGCAACGGGCTATGCGGCTTACAAGACCCTCTCAACATCATCACAATCCAACACGGTAGAATCATCGATGTTCGAGTAGCTTCGAGCTCCAATACTATGGAAATATATGCAATTTATGTAGGTATTAACTAGAGGCGTTGCTTTGGCCTTTGATTATTTGTGTTCGTTTTGAAAAAAAAACTAAAAGTAAAATACTTCAAATTTATTAATTTTAGAAATATAATGCGACGTGATATTTAGCATTACTGTTGGGACAGACAAGCTAATAATGGATGCCCCAAAGTGCAGCCGAGAGACGACTAATGCTTCATGGGCATCGAGAAAAGGCGAGCTGTTGCAGCATGTTCAGCTAAGACAAGTTGGTCCAAGCGAAAGCAACAAGAATCGCTATTGGGCCAACTTGCTGAGAGTATTCTGGATAAAAGCTGAGGACATTGCGATCCTGAGATAATTATTCGAAGCATCCAAAGCTTGCGCTACCTTATTACCACTCCAACCCCGGTGACTTTGTCTTCAATAATCAGCGGTGGGCTTCCTAGCAACATTCACGCAGCGCTTATCACAGAACGTACGCTAAAAAACATTTTGTACCCGTAGGGTCAGTCTGTGGGCTATCGACTCAGGTAACAATCGCAGAATAGGGAACGCTCTCATTGCTGCAGCCAGTTCGACAAGCTCAGGTGTTAGGATTTTTCTTAGGTGTTACGATTCCCTTGGAATTTGGAGCAAAGCCGCTCAATTAATTCCAGATCTCGGAGACGAGTCGATAGCAGGCGTCTCGACGAATTAACGTTCGCGTCTGGATAGGGCTAACTCGAACCTTAGCATGTGCAGGCTGTCGAAGGTACGATTGTGCAGAGTGAGTTGAATTGGCACGCTTTGTGGATCGGCAATTCGACTGAGGAGTCCAAATCGATGGAGACAGCTGGGATTTGGGTCTTACTACGGGCTCTACAACGAAGCGGAGCAACACGCTGTCGCTCAACTTAGTGACGCCATTATTACGTACATCACATTGCTTCCAATTATTAGAATTAGCTAATGATGCTTTTAGAAAAGCTGCGTTTTTTCAATTATTTTTGATATTTTTGCTTTTTCAAAATGGGAAGTTGCACTCAAGGTATGTTTTGTCCACCTGTGTAAGCACTGTGTTTCATATCGTGTACATCGTTGCTCGAACCTGACTTGAATGAATATGACAGTTTATCGGACCATACTTAAATTTTGTATGGGTACGTACTGCCAATTACCTGCCAGCAGAAACCACCGACCAATCGCAATAATCCAAATCATGATTTTAGCCAATCGGATGTAGTAGGTCTAGGTGAGTCATCTAAACCACCCGATCGGACATAACAAGTCCGATAAAACTCAAAAATATGTGTCTGTTCATTCAGTTGTCATGTGGTAGACGTATCACTTTCATATTCCTCTTCATCGGACCTCGCGATGGGTTTGGAGGAATTGCAACCTGGCAACACATTGCGAGCTAAGGCAACTGCTGTCGCAGCATTTTACAAGTTTAAAAGGGTGAGGAGGCTGAGAAGGAATGAAATGTATTGAGGCGAATGAGAGTGGCAAGAGCTTTGTGTGCGTCATGGATAAGTTCAGAATGTATCTTGCGTTTAGTGAAGGAAATAGGGTAAATTGCCGGCGCGAAACACTGCAATGCAGTACTAGCGCCAAGTAAACTTGGCTCCTAGTGCAAGTTTTTCAGCACCGAGCTTCGCTAGAATCGCGGCTGCTTAAAATGGCAAAAACTCTAGATAACTTTTGTCTAAAAATAGATGGTGGTGGCTTCGTAGCAAAGGCTCCACCATGTACAAAGGCTGACTTGAACAAGGGTATTTATCAAGAGGATGATACAACGAACGAGCAATTAATCAGAAGCAGATACAAACGCAGTGATAGGTCTAAATTAAATAACTCACTTTCCATTTTGCAGAACCAAGAAGCTAAGCACCTAGCAAACGTCGACGCATGTCTCGCCACGGCCGCCATGCCACCACAAGCGCACCCCGCCTCTTTCGGTAAGGCACACGACGGTCGCTTCTGCTGGGGAGATAGCAGTGAGATATTGGAGGTTGCCACATAGACAGATTATATTTTGCATTTTCTGACGACGTCGATTGCTTTTGTGGTAACAGGCGTTTATCAGGTCAAGACGCACTTAGTACCTGCTACTCGGTCAATGCAAGAGTGCAGGTATGTGTCTATTTAGTGAGTATTGCTGATATTTTTAATGCTGACGCTTGCTTCATTGTAATGATGATGCAGTATATGGAAACGATGAAAGTGTTGGCTACGTAGTCGAGACGAGCATAGTCATGGTGAGCTTATCCGAATTGAGCTGTAAACTCACTCGCGCACGAAGGTATTCCAACAATTTCGCTATATATTTATCTCAATTACCTATCCCTGCCCTATCTGTACAAATCTGCGCACTAGAATTTACTCTTTTTGATCATCAACAAATACTGGACACAAATTCTTTACTTCCTACCCCAGATATGTGCTCATGATGAAGCTATTGGGCTGTTCTCGAAGGTCACTCGGGTCGCGTAATTAAGTCAGTATTATAATATGAAAATGTTAAGATGATCTGAGCTCATTCATCCTCAATCTATCTTATTATTAACAGATTTTCTTCCATCTGCTTCAACAGTGAGACAATATTATTATTATGCATTAAGGATTATCCACTATCTTTAGCTTAGTTTCTGCTCTCTTTCTCGTACTCAGCACGTTTTCTTCAGGCAGTAAAATGAGCTTCACCAACGACGTACATGTCCGGTAAAATTCCGACACTCACGTATTCTACTTCTGCTACCGGTGTCGTGCATCTTTGAACGTTGGGACCAGTCGGGTTGCAACGGCTGCATGTGTACGGCTCCCGTTTGAGTACGCCAGCTCCCTTCAACTGCGCTGAAAAGTGCTGCTATTGCCTTACATGCGAAAGTTTTGTTGTAAGCGGCTTTGGCTGTTTCTTAATCGCTGTTTCTGTAATTTTTGATGGTCGTTTGCGCGACAAAGCAACGAGCCATTGACAACCAGTTTCATGCTCGGAACACAATCACTTAATATGAGTTCCGCCACCGACCTTCTACCGCTCAACACTTTTATTAATGTTAAACGCGTAGTACTTGACAAAAGAGCCCGCCGTCTCCAAGTCCACAAAGTGTTAGAATTTTTCGGGCTCAGCAGCCTTCAGATCGAGCTGAAGGGCTATCTGCTGCAAGGAGCTCATCGCGAGATCGTTTTAAAGTGTTGTTGAGGAGTCACCTTAGCTCTTGCCGAGAAGTCATCTTTCGTCCCTAAAATACGTTTTATAAGGCTTAAACCTTATGGAATTTTATACATTCCTAATTTTATTTAATATACCACTGTTAGTTATTTCAGACCAATCACTGCGTTTGTATCTGCTTCTGATAAATTGATAAATTGCTCGTTCGCTGTATCATCTTATTGATAAATATCCCTTAAGCAAAATGGTTGTGTATATGTATGTCAATGCATGTTCTGAGGGTGACTACCAAGATGCTGCTCTTCTGTGTCTGCTCTTGTTCCTGTTAGGGCGAGCTTCGGACCTGTCGATGATCAAGAAGCGGAATATCGCTAAAGTTTCCGCTCGTGTCTTTGTCGTGTTGGAAATCCCACGTGAACTCTAGCTACAAATGTAGTTAGGAAGCCCCCACACCAATACGCCTGCTAGGATAGCAAACGATCGCTCGGGCGGCCTGAAGACCCCGATTCTGCCCTTGCACCGGGACAGACTGGACCTTGCAAACCACTTATAAAGGCCAACCAGTAAGAATAAGAGCACTATACTTGCACGAGCAAAGCTAATAGGTGCTATGAATCCTCGTGGCCCAGCAGCGAAAGGGTACTAGACACGTGTAAGCCTTTTACGAGGGCACCGAGTGTTCAACACTCGGTTGGAAGAACAAAAGGGATGCACTACAAGCACTTCCAGTCGTGCAAATAGGCAACAATAAGCCGTCACGTAAAATCTCCCGATAATAATCGGCCAATACACACACAGTCTCTTGGCCTTGCCGGATGATCCCTAGCTACAGAGCTTCGAGCTCACCGACATGCATAACACACTCAAGCAAACTTAACCAGAATCTTACCTTGAAGCTTGACGTCGCTCTGTGTACTTGAGTGGGAATTCTGTTCTGTATTTATATTTGCCATTTCGGGCCTATTTCTAATACATGTAGGAATCCTAAAAGTGTTTACAAATATCAAGTGAGCTATGATCCGTTATGAATCTTCTTGCACGCCAAGCGTCGTCTGTAGCATCGCATGAGCATCTTTAACAGATCGCGCACTTTCCCAGACAGTGAACGTGCCTTCAAAGCGTTGTGGAGTCTTCCGCGAACTCATCCCAACCGCCACCGAGGGTTCGTACCGTAGATGGTCAGTTCTTGGCCGCTGAATGCGAATCCGGCCAGTCCATTATTACCCCCCCCCCGCTCTCAACGGACGTACATTATAACATGCGAGGCTTTCCCGGAATTGGCCTTTTCTTAACGTGTTGTATAAACATTTCATTTCGCAAAACGACACGGAGGACTAATGGGAGCCCGGCGACAGACTCGCAGCGAGCGTGATGCCTTCTTGGCAAGGTTGAAGGGGAGGAGCATCGCAGAGAGAGCGCGGCTGAACGCTGAGCACGAGGCGTATGTAAGGGGCGAGAGAGAGATGGACGCTGACTTCGGCCCTAATGCCCCGACTGGCGAAGCAACGCCCGCACCAGAACCGCCGAGAACAACGTTTGCAGCATCTCGCCTGCATATCACGCTCCGTGTCAGCCACAAGTAGGAAAGACAGCAGGCTACATAGCACATGCGAAGAAGGAGCGGGCTGGCCGCTAAGGTAGCAGCGCCGACGACGGCGGTAGCGGTTGAGAAGAAAACAGCAGTGGCCGAAAAGAAAAAGGCGGCGAGCAAGAAGAAGATGGCAAAGCATCGTGTTGCTGATATTAGACGCGACGAGAAGCAAGCAAAGGAGAACAGAGCAATTGCGCGTGCAACAAGTGCTGTTGCCGCTCAGGTAGAAGCGAAGAAGGGTGAG